ATTACTTATCATGTATCAACTCATAATCTGGAAAATGTGCATGTACTGGGTGTTTTTGTAGAGCACCCGGATAGCTAATTAATATTATATGTGTATGTGCGTTAGAAGTAAGAAATTAATTAGTGGTTCAAATTTGATTAAGGTCATAAAGATATTTGGTTTACCAAAATATCTGAATTGGTTAATTACATAATAACGTTTAATTAGTAATTAATTAATTAATAGTAGGATAAGAATTAAGCAATTAGAAAGCGTTGGAATTGTTTAATTAATGAAAGGATATGAAATTACTTAACCCACATATATTTACAAATTCTTTACAGCTTGTCAGTTTCAAACATAATTAATTTAAATGTATGTAGAGCTATACATATATGGGTACTTAATCATAGTATTGTAGGCTACTTGTTTATGTACATATTGTTTTCATCAGTAAATGCCAAGAAAACATTTCCACTACTTAGGAAAATCTACGTTCCTATATTCTGTGCATTAACATGAAAATTATTAATTATTTTTATGTATGAGCATAGATAATTAAAATATCTTAGAACTATAATTGGTTTATTTTAAATTCGATTTCTCTAATTTTTAATAAAAATTTTAAATTCATCTGCATTCCTAAATCACCTCAAGTTATATTTATTATATATACTTCCCATACATGGATTTACTTACACGGACATGCGCATTTTACTGTGTGTTTTCATGCATGCAGCTTGTTGCTATTATATTATAATATTTCTCGACCATTGATTGTTTATTTTAATTTTCAATAGCTTATTTTTTTCAATAAAAACCCAAAAAACTAATTGAAAATTTTCGAATATTTAATTTTCACACAAGGAAGTCCAACTCTCTCTCTCCCTCTCTCTCTCTCTCTCTCTCTCTATATATATATATATATATATATATAGATGATAACGTAAAAGATCATATGTCTGAATGTTAGTTACCCTGGTGCATGCCCATTAACATTCATAATAACACATAGGTAATGTAATAGATAAAGGTATATATGTATGTATATATATATATTTGTTAAATGCATAATGATGGTATGTAACTTAACCATTAAATATAAGTTTCATATAAGATGAGAATGTGACCCTATATTTACATGTATGTACATACGCATGTGTTTGCATCATCTACATATCAGATCATGTGAGTGAGTGGGGACTAGAGAATCCTATTAGATACACTCACTACGATATCAATTCTATGTATAATTTGATAATAGCAATTAATTAATGGTCTCTACGAACTAAAATAAACATTTATTTATCTTAAACACATGCATACATATATATATATATATACACACATATATGTATATCAGTTAGTTTTATCAATTACATTTAACTTAAATAACATAGCATTTTTTTTAGTGAAACTGATAATACACTTCCATCAAATCTTACTTCTAAAAAGATATATATTTTGATCATTATAATAATAAAATTATATTTGTAAGAACTTGACTTTATCTTTTTTATTATTATGATGATGATATTTGTATTTTTTTAATCAAAATAAATAAAATCATTAGACTACAAGTCAAATGCAATATGGTCAAATTGATAGCATTTGATGTGTACAAGGAAAGGATAAGTTATGTTATGTGCTATAAATTGAGTGTTAGTCAAATATTTAGATAATTTATATTAACGTTTTAGAAATTATATACTAGCTTAAATCATACTTCATATTACAGGAGAGTTATAAATATAAATTCGATATCTACTAAGTCCTCGTCCTAATCAAGCCAAATATTTATATTTTAGCTTTAATCAACAAGGCATTTTTGGAAAATGCTACATAAATAAAACCTGTGATTGGGTTACATACAAGAATAGTGTTTAATATTATATCAATACAATATCATATGTTACTTTAAGTTTAAGTATCTAATATTACTATAACATCACCCTTGGGTCATTAAAGTTTTCAATTGGACTCAATTGTGTTTGTCTCTCGAGATTTGTATAATTTCTTATTTTACTTCAGTTAAAACTTATTCTTAATTTTAATCAGTATATGAAAATATTTAAATCTTTAATTATCATTTAACTTAATAATTAGTATGTTATTTTCTTTCTAAAAAATTATTTTGAGTTATGTTGTAATTACATACATATCATTATTTAAAAGTAGATTTTATTATATTTTAATTAATATATATCTTTTACCTTGCTAATAAATATACAAATTTACTAAAAAAAATATCCGAACCACTTCACACACTAATAAATATTGCTTTCAATTACTTACTACATAATTGACCACAACCAATATTTAAACTTGTTGATTAAATAAATATGTCGAGTTGTGTATCAAATATATATATATATATATATAAACTTGAATTTTTCTTCTACAGCAAGTTGCAAGAAAAGGACAGAAATCAACATAGTAACCCATTTAATAGGTCACAAGAAGCTCGATGGAGCTAGCTACCTCAGTCCTTTTGTTGTGTGTACATTATTTGCCGACAAACTTTTTATAAACTTTAGTTTATCCGAAGAAAGAATGATCATCAAGAAATTTTTCTAAACTTGTTTATATTTTTTAAATACTTAATTAATAGATACAGATGTAAGAGCGAATGATTTACTAATTCGTTTCGACTTACTTCAAATAAAATGAATGAATATGTATAATTAACGGAATATTGAACGAAGATTGATAAAGAGTTATGAATCTTAAACGAATATAAAATAGATATAGAATCAATACTTGATTCTATAAATATAATTAATAAATTTTTAACTTCATTTTTAATTTTATTCAAAATTCTTAGATTTTGATTAATAAATACTTGATATTATATATTTGTTATCAAGTATTATATGTAAATATTATTTTAAATAATATTTTACTCAAACTAATACTTAATTTTTAATTAAAATTATTGAAATATTCTATTGAGATTTTTTAAAATTCAAAAAATGAATAAATAAGATGAGTAACGGATAAACGGTTCTAATCGTGGCAGTTAAAAAGTTTTTTACTTATTTTAATATAAAGTAAATATGAATACATATTTTTATTAGTAGAGAGATTAACATATCCGTCCTTAATATTCACAGTAAATTATATGAGGTGAAAAGTATAATTTTTTACCGTACTAAATAGTTTTTAGGTAGTGTATGGGTATATATATATATGTGTGTGTATATATATATATATATATATATATATATTAGAAGAAAATCATATAACATGGTGATTGGAGGGGTACAACTTTTTAAGACAGAATCCATCAGAGATTGGGACCATTCATCTTTCAATAAAATTTAAAGCTTTAAGTTAATCACATTCTCTTCTTCTTTTGCAACCAAGTCGCCTCCTTTGACTTCAACCCAGTCACTGGCTGCTGCTTATGTTTTTCTCTCTTCATTTTGGTCAATTTTCAAACCTTACATAGTAAATAATTTTAACATAATAAGGGAATTCAATGTTTTAATATTTCATATCTATCCAAAATATATATTCTTTAAAATTTTGTTCATAATTATTATGTAATCAGTACATACGATTATTAAAGAAATAAAAATTTATGAGTCAATATTACTTACTCATTATCAGAATTCAAAAATTTTGAAAGTGAGAGTTGTTTTATATAAAGGGTCTTCAAAGAAAATTAGAGAAGAGAAATTGCCAACATGAATTGTGTATATATATGTATATGTATATATATATATATATATATTTAAATTTAATTATATTGAAAATACTTGAGCTTTAATTTTAAAATGGTTGGCAATTAGGGGTGTGGAGCAATGTAGGCCTGCAAAGAAGCATTAAATGATATAATTGGTTGTTAGTTTTTGTGACCGTATTGGCTCCAGTGCAGGTACAATTGGTACTCCATTGAAATTGAAAATGGCCTTACAGAAAAAAGATCTTCTTCCAATGCCAAAGGCTTAGGTCTGTACATTTATATCTTTCCATTACCGTCTTTTTAATCTCTAATAAAATGCTTATACACCTTAAATTTAAATTTTTGTCATGTAGGGCTTAAAAAAATTGATAAATTTATACTAACAATTAAATTAATTAATTTAAATATACTTTAAAAAAAGGAGTCAAGCTCCCATTGGGTACATTATTATATACATATATATCTATCTGATTAATCCCTACAAGCATCTGTCTTCATTAATAATTACGCCATTTGTGAATCCAGTTGGTTTAAGCTGAAGCCTGGTGACCATCTCCACAGTGGTTGTCACAATCAATGCCTGTAAAATGTTGCAATTGCTGTTGTGGGATTGTTGCCCACATGGGAAAAAAAGGTTAAATTGAAGTCTTTAAAAAAAAAGTTATTCTAGGTTAGGCTCTCAACTTATTGTAATGTATTCTTATGCCCTAATATATTTTTTCATGTACAGGTTCTTTTCTTCCCTTCCAAACAACCTGTCAATACATCTGTCTCGGAGAGAAAAAGAGAGAGCTACCACTTGATGGATAATTGAAAACATAATTGAAATTTTTTTTCTCTATTTTCCTTGATGAATTCAAACAGTTAACAAGAGAAATTTGGAATAAAGCAACTTAGCTAAAAGAAGAACCCGGAAACTTCAGATAACGACAGCTCCATCTTAAAAGAGCACAAACATTCCCCTATACCTAAAGTGAGTCCTAATCCTCAAATGAAAAAGGAAAAGTGAAAAAGCCATTAAAAGCAGCTTGAGATTGGTGCCTGCTTATAAAAGCACATAGGGGAACTAATCATGCTCATCTGGGGATGAAGTATTGTTCTCTTCCTTTTCATTGCTTACCATTTGTTCCGCATGCCACTTTGAGAATCCATCCTCAAGGGCCTCTCGCATCCATGGATGTCTGCAGCACTCAACAGCTTCAGGTATGGTTAGCCAACTTCTCTGGCGTGTGCTCTGCTCAGGCCATGAGTCAAGCTCTTCTTTCACGAGCAAAGCAAACATCGCGGCTTTGCACAAACCTTCTGGACTAAACTCATCTTGTAGGGTCTTGCTCTTAAATAGATAGTATCCCAGAAATTGCTGAAACACAAGGCACTTACATTTTTAAGTTTACAAGGTTCCACAGGTCAGCATCCAAATAATAAAACAAAATAGGAGACCATGTTCGGAAATCAACCCAACAGATAAGGTGCAAGACCATTATGTCTCCTCTTCTTTGAAGCAAAGGAAATGGCTAAGCCACAGAATGATATCTCAAGGCAATGGAATGTGGCCAGTTCGTGTTACAGAATTTCCGTACTATGTTGGTGATAGCATCGTTTCGCATTAAGGGACCTAATCATTTGTTTTTTTCCATTATCTTTAAAGATCAAAAATAACAATGAACCCTAAAGGGATTCCACGTACTCTAAGTAGACAATTATCTGCCATTTCAGATTTTGGATTTCACCAGTATAGCTCTATGGAAACATACCTTTTTTATCTAACAGACATGAAACAAACAAAATAAACACAGAAGGGTGCTACATTGATGGATTCATGTGAAAATTTTGGACTACTTTATGTTTATGAACAGTTAGTTCAAGTTCCCACCAGAAGTAGCTGACGTCCAATGAAAGTTATCTACTGCTAGGTCTTCAACTGATATCAAGCTTCCCTTGATTTTTCCTCATACATTCCTCATACAATTTACACTTCCACTTGCTTCTAGCGCTTCGATTTTCTTTTTCTCGAGGAACATAGAGCTTAGATATTTGATACTTTAAATCACCACAAAAGAAGGAAGACAAGAAAAAGGTTACAAATGATTTCCTCTTCCAAGGTAAATGGGTCTCTCTTCAAAGTTCAGATATTTGATATTTTGAATAGATGAGGAACAATGAATTGTAAAGAATAAAAAAACATCCACTAGTAGACTGTTCCAAATGAAAAACTACATAAGAACGAGAAGCATTGCAACCATGTCAAAGTAAATGGGTCCTGCTAAATGAGAAATCCATATCAGTAGAAAAGGATGAGACTAGTACATCCAGTTGTTAATAATTTTAGGCAAGGGTTCTTCATAGTCATTGCCAAACCAATTCAGTATATGGCAGATAATGATTGTGGATGTTATTCATCGAGTAAGAATGGTGCGTGACCATATAGTACATCAACACTTCAGAACTACCTTCTACTTTTTTCTGCTGATAATATGTCAATCTACATGAGGGCATAAACGCCTAATTAGTTAATTTCACAGTTCTTGGGCTAGGATCTTGACCCCTAAAGATCATCGTAAACTCTGTAGAAACAATTTATATTCAACTTGTCTACTGCTATGCATCTATCATATCCATTTTGCATCAAAATTATTTTAGCCTTGTGAATATTTTGGTCTCCGTGGTAACATATTAGCAACTGCTGAGGAGACTAAAACGTTGAATGTGGAAAAATGCCTCAACCAGATTCCAAAGCCTCCTATATCCCATCACAATCTTTTATGAAGCCCACTAGAAGTCAACTAGACAATTACAAAAAAGTAAAAAGTAGAAAAATGCCACTCTGGTACCAAATCTACACCCCATCACGACCTTTGATTAGTGAAGCCTCAAACTAGAAGAGCTTAGTCAGAATTGAAGTATTCTCTATGATAGGATATGAGCAACTGTCGAGGATATTGTAAGAGAGTAACCGTAGAATTCGCTTACCCAGTTTCCTATTCTATTCTCGGCACATTTCTCTCCCAAATCCAGCTATATCAACCTACTTTTGTCGACCCTCTTTCCCTCCTTTTTTTTCTCTTCTATCTACATGCTCTTTCCAAACAACCCCGTTTTTCTCTCCTAAACCATGTCTTAGAATTTACTAACAAAATTCTTCATACTATCCACATGGAAGGGAGATATGTCAATAGCAGACACCTAACCACAAATCCACCGTTTCCAATATTAAGCAGTTATCTTAAGGATTCAGATATGGTTGAATCATGTTTATATACATATAAGAAAAACTCTGCTCCAGTCTATAAAATGACCTAAAATAGATATTATATATGATTGGAATTCTTTTTTTGATCAATTTTTCAGAAGATATTGCCATATTCTATTATCGTCCTGCTCTAAATGTCACTCAACTCTTACCTGCTAACTCAAAAGTTAGAGTTCATGTGCAAATCAAAGAGAAAAAAGTAAGCAATTCAAGGATATAAACACAGAGATATTTCCTTTTTACATGTAGGATGAAGAGAGAATATAGAAAAACAAGCAATGCCACATTATAAGCAAGAACCAATATGCTCACAAGTTTTTCATTACGATTAGGTCAGAAAAAAAAAATCAGTACCAGCAGTCATGTTCGCTGAAAGGAAGTTATACGTAATCACTCTTGCAAGTGAGTACGTTAACATAGTATATATACTCTCAGAACTTAAAATATTGAGGTGATTAATTGAATATTCTGAAGTATTAATGAGAAAAGAAACCCTTAAATATACCACCACGATCCACTTATTAGCATTTTATGAGTGTCCACATTATACACATATTTCCATGTACGTAGACATAATAAACTTTATATATCTTTTAGACTTCTTAAATGCCACAAATCTGATGAGTGAGATAAAATGTCTGAAAAACCACCTGTGCATAGAAGAAAAGAACAGAAGACAGTCCATTACCATTAAATCACCTCGGACGCCAGCCTCTTCTACAGCTTCACGAATTGCTGCCTCCTCAACAGTCTCATCATTTTCCCAGCCACCCTAAACAAAAAAGAGGGTGAAGTCCTAGCTATCATTTCTTTTCTTTTTCCCGTCTTAATCTATTTATAGGAAAGAATTAGATATTGATGCCAACATGAAATTTAAAACAATCTTTAAATAAAGCAAAAGAATGTATACTAAAGCAATGTACATAGCATCAATTTTATGTTGCAAGCGAAATTCTGAAAACTGTAATAGCAAATAGATTGCAAAACAAGGTTACTTTACACTGACAGTTATTTATTTTTGTCTGTGGAACATAGTATCTGAATTTTTGTTTTTATATTTCCGGTGCTTTCCTAGTGCTTTAGAAAGCGGTGAGATCTCTTATCAGATTGGTAGCTTTAAAAGGTCCATTTGCAGAATTCAAAGACATCGATGTTTGCGTATTCGTTTTGGGTCTGTCATATAAGAGGGATGTTAAACTTCTAAGCTGCCACTGTTACTTAATAGGAACTTTTGTAGAGCCTTTATTCCAGGTGTTGGCACTGGAATTTGGGAAAAGGCATGGATTTCCTCATATCAGGAGCTGTTTCAGTTTTTATTATGAAGAAATATAACTAGCATAGTAATCATCAAAGAGAAAAAAAAAAGAAAGTTTCTAGGTTAATTATACAATGAATCGACATGATTGCATGACATAAATGGATGCTAAAATGCATGAAGTAAATAAGCATGAGAACATAAACTGAGAAAGCAAGCCATTAAAATAAGAATGTGCAATAGATCATACTTGAAGGACTAGGATTAGGGTTGTTAACATTAAAAGGATACAAATAATCAACATTCCCAACCCTCCTTACCGTTAAAAAGAACTTCTTTTCACGCATCAAGCAAATAGACAAAACACAAAATAGAAAATAACGAAATGAATTATGAGGAATACATACCTTAGGAAACAGAAGCCCAGGTCCACTGGTTGAATTGATCATCAATACCTCAACAACCTTTTCAGATGCACCTTCATCATTTTCAATAGAACTTCTGTACTTGAAAGGAATACACCTGCTAATAATTATGTCACTATATATGACTCCAACTCATGCATGATTAAATCCATATAGTCACAGGTTTACGCTGAACCACATATATAGGTGCATGGAGCCTATATATACAGCTGAACACGTTACTTCTACTGTAATTTTAAAGCGTCAAATCCACCAAGTAAGCAAACTGGAAACCAGGTAATAAAAAACTCTCAAGACGAACCTCATATTTCAGTGCACCAGGTAGTTGGCGAAATTCTAAATCGAAACAATTTGAGTTCAATCTGAAACCTTACTATTTAACCTCTTAATATGGAACAATTCACATTCTATCTTTTTGCTTTCTTTTCAAAAAAGATAAAATTGAACTGTAGAGCTTTTAAACATAATGTTAACAAATGACTACAAGATTGAACCTGTCATCATATTCCAACAGATTTGACAGCAAAAAGACCATTTTCAAGAATGAAGGCTGGATGAAAGCAAAACAAAGTCATCGAGCCACCAATTCAGACATTTGGTTGGTGGTTTTTGAAATCTTGATGTCATTTTCAGCAAAAGCTTGAACCAATCATAATATTTTCCCATAGAAAACTTCATCAGTTTTTTTTTTTTTTTTTTTTTTTTTTTTTTTTTTGCAAATTCTCTCCTTATCTACACCAAATTGAAGAAACAAAGGGGTGAGTTTAAACCTCGCATTAAGATCACTTTTCAAATAAAAAGATTACAAAGTTCGTTCCTCAAGAAAAAAAATAAAAGTTGACAAGAGCATGATATGATAATATTATCCCAGGAAACCAATCAAGAGAAACTATGGTAAGATTGATTACAGCATTAATTACTAGAACAATGCATATCAATTCCTAAATGCCCCTCTCTTATTTCCTCCCAAACAAATGCAAAAGAAAAGAGAATGAAAAAGAAAATAAAAAGGATCACAGAGAGACGTGCTGATCACTAATCAAACAAAAAATAAAATAAAACCTAAATGTATTAAACTGATTGGATAGTTTGAAAACGACCATGCATGACATAAACGAGAGAAATCACACCCACCCACATACAATATATAAAATACATAGATGCACACATATGCATATGCACATATAGATATACAAGTATATTTGCAATGAGGAATAAAGATATGAAATGGGTATTCAAAAAAATAGAGAAAAATACCCGGCGACGAGGCGGCAACCATCTTGATAGCGCTGCTGATGGCGACCGGTGCGAGCCACCAATTCGGACATTTGGTTGGTTGGGTTTTTTTTTTTTCCTCTCTTTGTGGGTTAAAAAATTTATATTAATGGAGGGCCTTAATTAGTACTAAAAGAAGCAAGCACGCAATTGATTTCTGCAATCACCAAAAACAATTCTCGATTTCTACCATAATATTCCCGAATCGAATCCCCAAACCCGAGAACACCCTTCTTATACATAACGCGCCAGGCCGACCCAATAAAGGATTCTCTTTAAGCACGGCGCTTATTCCCATTGCTGCATGCACCGCCGATGCAACCGACTAAGCCAGTAGGCGGTCACGCCACCCCCGCCCACCTCACAACCCCTGCCCTTCTATGTCTCTCTGCAATCTTCTCAAATGGGTTTCAAATTCTGGGCTCTGGGTCCCAAGAAAAGATACTTGCTTGGTTCTAGAGAAAAAAAAAAGGTCTTCTTTTTAGCTTTGTCTTGCTTTTGGTTTTGGTTTTTGCTGGTTTCTTTTTCTCTGGGTGTATGGTAAAGAAGCGAAGAGCATAAAAAGGTCAAAAGAGAAGCAGCTTTTTGTTAATTTTTTTTTCTTTTTCTGGAAAAAATTATAAAAGTAAACTTTTTTGTTATTTATTTGTTTATTACCCCTGAAAAATCGATTCAGAAATTTGAATTTTTGGCCATAAACCACCCTACAAATATTTCCCACCATAAAAACTTAAAAAAAGAAAGAATTTTTTTTTTTCTTTTCTTATTTTTGTTCTTCAGTGAAATTTTGTTAATAATTATTTAAAAATTTATCCTTATTTTCAGAATTTATAAGTGCAAAAATTACATAATTCTTTAGACTTGCAGGTAAAAAAAAATATATTTTTTCCACTTAAAAACAATAAAACTCCATATTTTGGCTGGGTTTTTCAAATAGTAAAATTTTAAATTTATATTGTAATAATGTTATTATATACTATATAAATATTAATAAGTATAAATTCGAGCAAACATTATTCTATTGTAAATACGTAAAAATTACATACATTAATTATTAATAATTAAGTATATTATAGTTGAATTTTATTAATATTCAATAAATTATTATTCATTTCATTAGTTTTGTTAATTATAAAATTGATCAATAACCATGTAATTCAAACTAGATCAGATAAATCCAAATTGATTCTAGTGATAAATTTTAATATGATTTTCAGTTTGAAATTAAATTATCAAAAAATTTCAATAGAATCTGATTCAATTCCACATAATATAAAAGCAGACAATAAAATAGCATACTACATATAATCTTGATTATCATTCAAAGATAACCGGCGTCTTCTCTCTTAATCTGACTTTGAAGGGTTGATTTAAGAAAACTATCCTATATTTTACTTTCTGCATTTTCATATATTATACCATTAAACTTTCAACATATTCATTATCTTATCATCCTTCAATTCAACAATCATCTTTTAAGATGTACATATACATGCATCTTATATAAGTTCGTTCTTCTCAATTCAGTAAATTCCTTATAATTTGTTTCCTCCAATATGCTTCTGCATTTTTCTGCAATAAAAATGATAGCTATAACATAAACCGTTTTTGTTATTTGTAGCTTTATGTGAAGCTGTAAAAAAGAAAAGAAACTAAATTTCTAGCTTTCAATCCATGAGCCGCTATAATTTTTCTCATTGTTTTAAGGCCATAACAATGGAGAAACTGGTTTTTATCTGCCAATCCATGAGTTTCTGCAAAGAGAAGAGACTAAGTTCTACCTTCCTATCCATGATTCTCTATAAAATTTTCTCTTTATTTTTAAGGTCTTAACAATATAATGGAAAAATTGTCTTCAGTACTTCTTAACAATCTCTGTCAAGGAAGAATAGGTTCCCAGGAATGCACAAGCAACGCCGAAAGCAACAACTAAGCCACTCAAAACAATCTGATAACAAAAGAAAACTGTGTTAAGTAGAGAGAATCATGAAAACGACAATGAAGAAATATATGGCATGTCGGAAGCATGAGATACGAGATTACTACCAATTATTGCAATATACCAGACTTACTTTAACGATAAACTATAATTTTACCCCTGTATTTTTCTTCTTGGGATTCAATCTCTATGAACTGTTTTTGCAATACTGTTGGTTTTGTCTTTCATTTTACAAAAAATCATTAATTTTTTAAGAAGAAGGCATTATGCCGCAGAGGCAGCATATCAGCACCCTTCTCTACAATGGCAAATATCTGGATTCCTTTTTGAAGGTTCAGTTACCGTTTTCCTTGAGAGAAATAAGCACTCGCATGATCATGAGGCAATTGCAAAAACAAAAGGGATCTAACAGTAAGCTTTCAAAAGTTTGGACCAACTGAAGTTTACAGTGAATCCCTTTAATCAACTTCATTTCATTTTAGAAGCTCCCTAGGGTGAAAGAAGGCATATGAAATTAAAAACCAAATGACAGTAACAATGTTAAAATCAAACCTGTGTTCTTGTAGCATTTTTCCCCACGATTTTTATGAAACAAACTGCGGGCATTATTACTGCCTGTATCAGAGATAGAACCACATTTTCAGTTCCTATAATTAGGAGCTAAAGTAGCTCAAACATAAAAACGATGCGTATTATGAAAATTATACGAGAAATTAACTAGAAATAGAATGAAAAACTGAATTAAAAGCCATCATAACTTTCATGCTTGAACCACCCACATCCCCAACTGAAATTTCTTGAATGTAGATTGCCAGTTCCTACTTTGAAAAATAGTTGATTTAAGCATGAAAACATGATTCAATTCAATCTATCAAAATTAATATAGCAACTAAATGTGCAGGGTATGCACAAGTGTATAATTATTTGCATAAAAAATAATTATATCAAACTACATATAATTAATAATGAAACATAAAACTAAAACTTAATATATCAAATTTTATACTTTTAGAAATTTATGGATTACTATTTTCAAATATGATATTATTATAAATTATATTCTCTGTTTGTGTACGTGAATAATGAAACATACAAATAAAGAGCACGACAGATATATTTGGTTCAATCATCGTCTATAACAGCTTAGTTGGCGTCAACTACTCCTCGCGAGAGATGAGGATTAAAAATTATTATGATAATTGGAGTTTACAATTATCAACGTATCACTGTTATAATCAAACCATATCCGTAATAAACTTTCCACAGTTTAGTGAACCTCGGAACAAAGCAAAAAAATTTCACATTGTTCTCTAATTGACAGACTATATATACACTGAACATAAATGAGCTTACCACCAGTATACAGAGGACAGAACCCATTAAAGCCATCACAAGACCTGCAATCAAGACCAAAGGTAGTGGATGGAGTGAGCTCAATTCTATCAGCACTAGAATTTAGTGCAGTTCTTTTTCTTTTGTTTAATAGAAATGTATACATTTCCATAATATAATATTTAAATAAACGACAATTATATATCCAAGTTTTATCTTCTCCAACAATCAAAAGGCAAAAATATTTGAAATTTTAGTTGTATGATAAACAAATTACCTGCCTCCAGAGTTTTTCATATCTGCTCTTGGAGTAACCTAATTATTACACCTTGCTCGCTTTTAATTTGCAACCTAAACCCTCGGTACATTTTTTACTCATACTTTTACTATGCATGAGGCACTCAAACATGACATTTGCAAATAGCTAAGTATTATAACCTTGTTGCTGATTTAGTGGCTAGATAATTGTTTATCCTCAAGGTTCAGAGACCAAAGTTTGATGATGAAGCGGCAGGGTAGAAATAAATGAAATACATAACAAAATGGGATACAAAAAAGTCTGTAATTAATAGAACTTGGCAGAATAATTTGTCTGCACATTTCAATCTTCAACATTTTCTGCTAAAGATTTAAATAAAATAATAATAATTACTGCAAGATCCAAGAAAAAAATTTCATACGCAGAAACATACGGTTTGACAAATTAGACTTTGGCAATTTTTCTTGCTTTATGTGAATAAGCTAGTAAGTAGCTATTTTCTAGATTAAAGTGCAAAAAAATGAGGCATGAAAAATGAAATAACATTTTAGAAAATTTACCAAATAAGGGAAGAAGGAAAGCAGCACAAACGGTAGACACCACAAGTGCTGTTCTCAGAAGACCATAGCACCACAAACCACTCGAAATTCTGGCTGGTAATAGTTCCTCTATACTCCTAGCCAATGGGTTTATCATCAGTGCATATTTAGTGAACGGGTTGATAACCTGGAAAACAGAAAGACTGGCTTAATAACCATTTGCCAATATTGATGTCACAGGTGTGCAGAGGAAACGGTCCCATACTTACTGTTGTCCAAACTGCAAGTTTTGAAGCAAAAGAGTGCTTTGGCATATTTAATGTTATCTGCGAAAGCGTGGCTTGCCCAAACATGAGAAATCCAATGACTGCAACACTTCCATAGAGTAAAATGCACAAAAGAAAACTGCACAAAAACATGTATAGAAGGCATTAGAAAGAAGGGCAAGTAAATCACCAATCATGATCGCTATTCTTAGACACGTTCACTTTTTTACCATATTATGAGTGCTTTCGTAAATTTGGTTTTGTCAGCCATTGATTGATATATATTCGGAAACACAGAATGCCCGGAGTTGCAAAACCCATAAACACCAATGGCAAATGGAATGCCACTCCAGTTCACCAGTGGACCAGTTTGATGAAAGCCAATGCCATCAGTAGTACCAACAAGTAATAAACAAAAAGCTACCAAAATTGTAGCTAAGACGCCACCAGCTGCAGAATAGATGATGAGAATTAAAAGGTAAACGAGTATTAGGATATTAAATGGCCATATACTCTACAATCAAATGCAATTAAGGCACTTGCATAGAAAGTTCACAAACCTGAAATGAATGAGATCACACGAAGGTCCCTCAGCCAAACAGTGGGCAGAATAATGAGAGCAGTTAAAATTCCAAACAAATGCACTGAGTCTAGGTGTAAACCAGACCAATCCAAGGATGCTCCTGGGAATAGCCTGGTCAAATTATCCCCTTCCAAAATAATGAATTCAACACAACATGACTGCAAAAGCGGAAAGGAAATTTTAATAACTGCAAAAATGATGTGATACAATATAACATTTATCAGGGTCAGTGCTTCACCTACATATAATTCTGAGTAAAGAATAATCTGCACCAATGTCCAAAAACACAGAAATATCAGAAAAAAAGAATACATAAATAGAACCTGAAGAAAAAGAGAAAAAAAAAAGTTTCCATACAGATCTCATAAGGTCTTTTGAGAATTATAAAGCGATTCGACATGAATGTCTACATGCAAAACCAAGACCAACTTGAAGGATACACTTACATATTCTTTTTCTACTTAGGTTTCTTATTTTTTTAAGTAAGATAAAATACTAATGCATGATGTGATGCAGGAAACATTTATAAAAAAAAGACTACTGCAAAGCTAGGACAACTCACAGATATGAAGATTCTTCCATATTTACCAAAAGCAGCTTCTCCAATGTCTGGGTATGTTATAATGCCTTCTCTGCTTTCAAAGCAGTATTGCATAAGAGCTGCAGTGTAGCAGCATACAACTGAAAAAATAAGTAGCACCACCAAACTTGCCCAGCCCGCTTGTGTCACTGTGTAAGGAGTAGAAAGCAGACCAACTCCAGCCATTACATTCATAGCTGTCCCAGAAAGAAACGGAATTAGTTCAAAGTCTCCATGTTCAACTGTTGGTTAAAGAAAGAAATTACTCATTTGTTTCTTGGATTCTAACGAAAATGAATCAGAAAATTAGTGAGAAATACAAATCCTCAAGGGTCAGAGGAGATTTTCACATGAGCATATAAAAAGCAAATGAGCTATACCTATTTTCAAATCATTTAAGTTGTGTGACAAATATCTTTTCCGGGAGATTTTCCCCTGCTAGTTAATAATAACCATTTCAGCAAACCTTTTAGGAACATAATTATCTCAAACAAACACAAGATGAGAGACTAAAGAGCAATGTAACATCACAAAATAACTATCATTACCATTAAAAATAGTTTGAGTCATGCTACATCCATGACCAATGGGAAGCTCTCCAGTTAGTTGCTTGTGGAATGAAGATTTCTGTAACCAAGATGACTGTGTTACCGAGATTCTATCCACATCTTCTTTTTGCTCAGGGAGTAAAGGGATCTTTGCATCCTGTTCCAAATTAGTTTTGCTGCTAGTTTCAAAGCTTGAATATATAAGATTTGGAGCTCGTCCGAGGGCTCCAAATATTGGCGAAGCAGTGATTGTGTAAGAATCCATTGTCTCCCTGCACAGCAAAAATTGTAGGCGCATTAATGCTTTCTTTCAATATGTGAAGTCTCTAAAATACTTGAATTTAGAAATTCATACTGGACCATAGCAAGCAAAAAGTTCACTTCCACAAAAAAAAAAGAATGTTGAATAGATAAGTTACCCACTTGAGATTAAAGCTCGTATCAAAAAGTCTTTTGAAGCTATTTATAAACTACAGCTAAAATTTATATTTCATGGGGAGTCACACATTAGAGATTGCCATTAGAACTAGAATTCTGATAAAAAGGGGGATTGAATTTGAACCCATAGGAATACTTGGTGACAATATGAGCCAGATGAATCTGGCGAACAGAGTTAACATATCTCAGAACCCTGGTTCTGTTTCAATGAAGAAGAACTTTTCTCAGAGCTATAACCTTATTCAAAGGCGACCTAGTTGTTATATGATACTCAATGAAACTTTTAAGTGATATCAAAACTTCCCTTTTTGTAATAAATAAAAAATAGATTCTCCCATGAAAAGATAAATACGAGCGAATTGTTAGAGGTGCATCTTCTGCTATTTTCTCTTATGGGGAAATAAGATAAACAATTTATATATACATGCAAACGCACACCCATATGCACATACATAGATACATACGTATAGATATGTACATATTTACATGAACGTATAGATGTGGTGGAAGAGCATTGCAATATATACCTGTAACTCTGAGGCCATTGCTGAGAACTAAAAACGAGCTCTCCCTCGTCTCCCTCAGATCGAATGCTATTACTTCTACTGCCGCCACTGCTACTGCCACTATCAGTCCTGTTGTCTTCTACATCGTCGTCTTGTTCTTCTTCCCCCTCCAAGAAAAACAAATCTTCTTTCTCGTTTTGCTCACTCATTAATGCAAACAGCCAATAAACAAACCCGAAAAGAAAGAAGAACAATAGAAAGAACCCAAATCAGAAGAGCCAGAAACCAGAAACCAGAGCTCAGCAGAAGAAGAAAATGAAGGAGGCTGCGCGAGTTGGTCTATTCTGTTTTTACGGGCGCGAATTTAACGAGGAGTTTGAGTGAGGAATGGCGAAAAAATACGTACAAACTGAATTTGTTGGATTTTTGTGCGGTGTGGATTGTTTTCGTTTGGAGAATTTGTGGTCCACCGGTTTTCCTTCCAATTTTGTTTGTTTTTTTTTTTTTTTTTTTTTCTGGGACTTTCAGTAGGGGCGTTAAAACGGGAACGAAGAATACCGACTCAGAGACTGAAAATTGGATCATCTTCTATATGATAAAAGTTTGAATGGGACTCAAATACAATGAGATTGACATGTACTGTTTTATCTATTTTATATTACATTTTTTCAGATAAAATATTCAATAAATTTAAAAAATTAATTGATTTGTAATAAGCAAAATTCGTATTTAAAAAATATTTCATAGTTTTTTAGCTTAAATTAATCATATATTAACAAAACAAAAAATTCATTTAATCAGTCTAAACCAAAATCAGACCTAAATGGGCCGTGATTAAATCAAAATAAATCATTATAGATTTATCTAATTCTTATGTTTTTAAAATTGTACAGATAGAGGGAATTTAATTTTAATTTCCGATTGCTAATTTAATATTACTTTTGGTAATTGCACTATCTTATATTTATACGTACTATTTTTATAATATTTTCCAAGCATTATAGATTCAATGTATTATTTGCACATATTTGCCTGAATGATGTGACATTAATTCTTGATTGATTGCCCTCTTAGTGCGATTAGATAGTTATCCATTTCATAAAAAAAATATATATATTATTAAATTAAATTAAAGTCGGGTAACTTTTGATTTAAGTATTTTGTCGCACAAATATCTTTTTTTATTATTTAAGTTGTTGATAGACCAAAATTTCTACTGATTTTTCATATATTAATGATAAAGTTGACCATGAAGATTAAAGTTAAATACCCTAAATATTTTCTAAGACTTATATTTAGAATAAATATATCATAAAATATATTAATTTTAATAAAATCTAATATATATTATTTCAATTTTTTATTATCTGAATAAATTAGTAACTTACTAAATTCGAACCGGCGTATCCTGTCTATTATTTATTTTAACATTTAATCGGATTCGGTTATAACTATTTAAATATATGGATGAACAGTGGATAGTGACAGCAGGATGTGATGTTTAATTGGGAATCCTCCAAAAAAAAGAGCAAAAGGCAGAAGAAACGCGTGGAGGAATGGATACGAGAAACTGTTGATGCGTAAGCAAAGCGTGGTGCACGCTTAGACGAAGCGCGTGACAGAGTGGTGATGCAAAATCCTTCATGTGAATCTATAAAGTGTTCGTGGATTTTGTCGAGTAGTCATTTATGATTAGGAAGTTACGTAGGGTTTTTGTTCACTGCCATCACGTGGCGCACAACTGTACGATGTCGTTCAATCGACTAAATTGGTTTTCTAATTTAGGCCCAGGAACACTGGGTGGTAGAATTCCATTACGATAGACTTGTAGATTTAAAGTCAATAATTTACTTTATTTAGAAAGCCCATTAAACTCCCATCTCCTAGCCCATGTGAAGCCCATTAAACTTTTTTCAATTAGGTGTTTTTAAGTAAATATATATATAATTTATATATACCAACAGACAATACAAATAATTTCTGGATAAATACATACATGAATGCACAGTTTGAGTCAGAATTACAAATTCTTATAATTTTTCTTTTTGCGCTAAAATTTAACGCTATGCATTGATTGATTAGTCTCTTTTTTATGGGAATAAATAAATGATTAAAAATAATGTCATAATTTGGCTGTATAGAAAATTATAAATTATTCCAATTCGCTTATCTAAAGAATCAAACACCCTCTTCATTAAGTATTCTCTCCCTTCCATTAAAACGTTAATATATATATCTTCTCTCCCAACAAGCCTTTACTTGTCCCATGGAAATACCTTGCTCTACAAAAATTGGAATTTTTTTCACTTAAAGAAAAGGAAAAGTATATATATATATCTGTGTGTGTGTGTGTGTGTGTATGTAGACACACACATATTTATATGGGTGTTTTATTTTGTTTTGTATAAGCAACTTCCCATTTGCAAAACCAGGAAAGGATTTATGGGCCAAACTCTGAAGACACTAGCTTCTGGTAATTCCCTCTTCTGCTAATTAATCTAAAAAAGTTATTGTTATATTCTAAAAAGAATTTACAAATTTTAAATTAAAAACTGAAATGTTTTTTAAAAAATAAATATTATAAAACCAATAATTTAAAATTTAAAATAATAATTTGTTCATTCTTTAATAACATAGTCTAAAGTGTGTATGCATATATAACGTTAGGGAATTAATTATTTGGATTTTGTTTTAGATTAAGTTGAATACTGTGTCCTTTATTATTGATAAAATTAATAGCTTGTATTCATTTTGATTATTATTGTCTTAACTAATATTTGATATTTTTAGGAAATGAGCAGGAAATAAAAACTAAAGCCATTTGTAATGCAATAGAAGAATTCTACAATTCTCATTTGGAGAATTCCGAGAAGGAGTGGACATTAACTGATTTTTATCGAGCAATATGTGAAGTTATTGAGTATGTGTTTTTCGATATTATATGCAAACAAATTTTATCTAATTTTACTTTGTTCATGCTTATAACGACTAAATAAATTTAATAAATATACATAATAAATTAGAAAAATAAAAAATATAATACCTAATTTAAAAATAAAATGTATGTATAGATACATATATTACTTTTATTAATTAAAATTTAAAATATAAATATGAAAAAATCAAAAGTTGATTAATTTAATTCAAAATAGTACTAGATATTTTATCTTGAACATCCTTAAAATAGGGATTAAGTTAACAAATAAATAAATTAATTCCCAGGGAAATCAACAGGAAGATTGGTAGCACACAATTTCGTGTCCCGCCTATTGAGACACTTGACCAAGCTTACAAGGTACATACACCATACATGTTTAATTTTAAATTACGTTAATTAAAACATGTTTAGTTAGTAATCTAAAATTGATAATTATGTTATTAATTAAAATTAGTACAGGCTCATAACTTAGGGGGAGAGAAGAAAACACTGACAAAGGATGAGTTTCTGAAGGTGCTTCAAGAGATGGTAATAGGAACGGGGTTCACCGGAGTTGGAGGAGCTAGAGATGTTCTGCTCTTTATTTTTGGAGTTCCTGTAACTGCTCTTTTTCTCAAACACAGAATAGCTCCCAACTCCTTACCTGATGATGTATTTATTCCGGCTGTCACTTCTGCCACTGTTTACCTTCTTGCCAAACTTAACAAGATTTGACCCAGTTTAATCTTCTCTCACCTTTCACTCATACCCTCTTCAATATATATATATATACATACATACATACATACATATTGACTTCTTTCTCTTACAGTAATTTTAATTATTTCTACTCTAAACTGATTACTGAGACAATTATTATTCTGATATTTATAATTTAATTCATATATCTTTTATGTGACATTTTTTTAATGAAAATTAATATATTTTATTGATATTAAGTAGAGTTTGCATATTAATTATATAACACAATTTTTTTGAAAAAAATATCAGACTCAAACTAAATTCCGAATTAAAAAGGAAAAAAATATAATTGAGAAAAAAAATTTATTGTTGGGTTAAAGAATAGTTAATAAAATATATAAAACTTGATTTTAAGTTGATAGTTGAATTCTATAAAACTAAATTTATCATGTAAATTTTGGAAATTAACTTGAATTTTTTACTCTCTTATTAAAAGAAAAAAAATAATTGAAAAATTTAGATCGACACGAACAAAAATATAACATTCTTATGAAATAATATGACTGTTTATTAGTTTGAGACTAATAAAAATATCCAGTTTTGACTAAATTCTTCTAATTATTTATTTAGGAACATGATTTTTTTTAAAAAAAAAAGAAATTAATTTCAGCAATTTTGTAGAAGTTAGTGATTGGAAACTCACCTCCTAAGAATAGCATATGTTCACTTGGATCTCGGATGTCCGTACAATTATGGAGGGTAATAGAGTTTGCAGGATATGAATTATACAGAACCGGTGTTTTTTTTCACAGAAGAAAAAGTCTCTCTTTTGACTATTTTTAATCACTAATCTATCACATAAGATAATTTATAGGAGATAATTATGCTTTCTTCTTAATTAATCATTAATTTGACCATAAAAATTTTAATGGTTTCATAATCAATTTTACTTGCGAACTCACTTCATGATCTACATTCTCGACAGAGTAAATTAACCTAAAAAAACTGAATCCTATTTTTTCCCCTCCGTTCTAGAATTTAGAAGAATTAATTCTTTTTTGGTTCTGTAAATTAATTTATTTGGGTTCGAGAAAATAGTCAAAGGCACCCTTTTCTTCGATCTTCATTTTCTTTCTCCTTGTCCGGAGAAACAGAGGGGGGGAAAATAACAGAGATTGATTAACAAACACAATGTGGTTAAATTTTTAGTATTTTTCTTCATCTGGGTTTCATGATTTATCACAAGAACTTGTAATTTGATCTTCTGATTCGTCTTTCTCCTCACCCATTTCGGGGAGCTTCACGGTAAATCAAAACGGAGCATGTAAAGAAACAGATAGATAGGTATTCCAAGTGTATATACATATATCACAGAATGAGTAAAGAACAGAGTGGCGTCGTCAAGGCATGGGAGGCAACGGTACGGCGAACCCAGGCGGCGAAGAAGCGAGCCAACAGCATCTTCGGCACCGTATCCATAGCGCCTCATGCAGATGAAGAGAGCGACGATGACGACGAGGAAAGCCGGATCAGCGTCGGAGACTTGTACCACGCCGAGCGAGTTCTCCCTAACGGGGATTACTACACGGGGCAATGGTACGACAACTTCCCTCACGGCCAAGGCAAGTATCTTTGGACCGACGGCTGCATGTACGTCGGCGAATGGTACAGAGGCAAGACAATGGGCAAAGGCCGGTTCAGCTGGCCGTCCGGCGCCACCTATGAAGGCGAGTTCAAAAGCGGGTACATGGACGGAACCGGCACTTACATCGGGTCAAACGGGGACACTTACAGAGGCCAATGGGTGATGAACTTGAAGCACGGACACGGCGTGAAGAGCTACGGTAATGGAGACTGGTATGACGGAGAATGGAGAAGAGGAATGCAAGAAGGGAACGGGAAGTACCAATGGCAAAACGGAAACCATTACATCGGGGAATGGAAAAACGGGGCGATTTCAGGCAAGGGCAGTCTGGTATGGGCAAACGGGAATAGATACGATGGGTACTGGGAAGACGGGCTGCCGAAAGGGAATGGTACCCTAAAATGGCCTAATGGGAGTTTCTACGTAGGACATTGGAGCAGAGAGGTGGATGAACAAAATGGGACGTATTACCCATCTGGTTCGTCGCCGGAGGAGACGATGGAATGGGATCCGCAGGCTGTTTATAACGATATAAATGAGAATTGTAAGGTTTGCAGCGGTGAGAGGGTATCGATTCTGCCGTCGCAGAAGAGATTGGCGGTGTGGAACTCGTCGAAGCGGGTGGAGAAACCGAAGAGAATGTCGGTGGATGGGCGGGTGAGCGTGGGAGTGGAGAGAGCTTTTGAGAAGATGAACATGTGGGAGTGTGATGGAGAAGGAAATTATGATGTGAGGAGAGATATGGATGGGGATTTATTGGGCCTTAGTGGGGAAGATGGGAATTTTCCAAGGTCTGTTCCTATGAGATTGCCAAGAGCCGGGAAAAAACAGGGACAGACTATTTCTAAAGGCCACAAGAATTATGAGCTTATGCTCAATCTACAGCTCGGAATCAGGTACTACTTATACTATATTATACTTACATATACTATTATATATATATATATTTATATACATGTATTCACGAACAGGCATTCAGTGGCAAGACCAGCACCAGCAGCCTCTCTTGATCTCAAGGCTTCAGCTTTTGATCCAAAGGAGAAAGTTTGGACAAGATTCCCTCCGGAAGGAACCAAATATACCCCACCCCACCAGTCTTGTGAATTCAAATGGAAGGACTACTGCCCATTAGTTTTCAGGTCACAGGAACCAAATACATCTATATATCATATCCCGCATACACATATATGTGTGTATAACAAGTGAATTTGAGTTTGCAGGAGTTTGAGGAAGTTATTCAAGGTAGATCCAGCTGATTACATGATATCAATTTGTGGGAATGATGCTCTCCGTGAGCTATCTTCTCCTGGTAAAAGTGGTAGCTTCTTTTACTTGACCAACGATGATCGTTACATGATCAAAACAATGAAGAAATCAGAAGTCAAGGTGAGTTTTTCCCACATACATACATATATATTTGACTATACACATATATATGTATGTACATATCATTGGTTGCACGTGACATGCAGGTTCTCTTAAGGATGCTTTCAGCATATTATAACCATGTCCGAGCCTTTGAGAACACTTTGGTCATCAAATTCTACGGCCTGCACTGTGTAAAGTTGACAGGTCCTATCCAAAAGAAGGTTAACCTTTTTCTCCAATTTCATATATTTATATAAATATATATACGATTAGACAAGGTGGATATAGAGTATTATTACCTTATATAAATTTGTACGGTATAATATGTAACATTACCTGTTTTGTTGATGCAGGTGCGGTTCATTATTATGGGGAATCTTTTCTGTTCTGAATACACAATACACAGACGCTTCGATTTGAAAGGATCTTCACTTGGCCGCACAACAGATAAGCCCGAATCGGAGATTGACGAAAACACCATCCTCAAAGATCTCGATCTCAATTTCTTATTCAGACTGCAAAAGGCTTGGTACCAAGAGTTTTGCAGGTCGCAATTTCATAAATTTTCCTTCATTTTCTCGCCAATCAAACATTTTATTGAGCTAAGCTTTTGAGGGAATTTCAACTTGCAGGCAAGTAGACCGCGATTGCGAGTTTTTAGAGCAAGAGAGAATTATGGATTACAGTCTTCTGGTTGGTCTTCACTTCAGAGAAGCATCGGTTGCTGGAGAGCTAATTCCTTCCGGCGCTCGAACTCCAACTGGTTAATTTTCCTTTCTTCCTTTCTTCTGGACGCCATTGTTGCTCAGCTTGAAACAAACAGAGAGAGAGAGAGAGGGAGTTGAATCTTGTTTTTGTTTTTGCAGGAGAATCTGAAAATGATTCAGGGCCTCGTCTTTCTAGAGCAGATGTTGATCAGCTCTTTATTGACCCCAAGAGGTATACTCTCTTCATTTATTCAAAATTTATTTTATTTTATTTTATTTTATTTTTCTCCTTAATTATTAGATTAACTTTATATAATTATTAAACTAATCTTAATTAATAAAGTTATGCTTTAATTGTTTTCAATTTCTGCTTAGAATAAAACATAAATTTAATGAAAATTTATCTTAATTTTTTAAAATTTTGAATATTTTTTAAATTTGAATCGAGTATTGTAGGTGGGCGAGTATTAGACTAGGAATTAACATGCCAGCAAGAGTTGAGAGAACAATGAGAAGAAGCGATTGCGAGTTTCAACTCATTGGAGAACCAACCGGAGACTGCTACGAAGTGATAATGTTTTTTGGAATCATAGACATTCTTCAAGACTACGACATTAGCAAGAAACTCGAGCATGCTTACAAGTCAATCCATTATGATCCGACCTCTATTTCTGCAGTTGATCCGAGACAATACTCAAAACGTTTTCGTGATTTTATATTCAAAATTTTCACAGAAGATAATTGAAGTTCTTAATTTATCAACCCCATAATTTTTAGGTTTCAATATGTGCAGCTGACTCGTGTTGCAAATTAGGATTTACATGTGAAGTCTAATCATTCTTTCGGTTATGTATAAACTCGGTACAGAATATATTATACAATGTATGTTCTGATTAAAGGCATAGGAAAAAGGAGTAGGGAAGTGAAAGCCTACTCCAGTTGTAACAAAGTGTTTAGAAACTTATTTTTACTTTGTCACTGTTTTGTCTCAGGGGATCAAAGGAAACTAATGCCTGAGATTTGTTGTGTTAATTTTTTGTTTTTTGAATTCAATTGTATTTAAGTACTTGAAATTGAATTGAATTTCTTTGTTTTCTTATGGTTTTGAATGTATGATATGAGATTTATTATTGAATGTATGGGATAAAATTGTAGGTTGAAGTTGAATTATACATTTTAATATATTATTAACAAGAGATTATGTTATAATTTATATATATATAATTGTAAAATATATAATAATAATTTTTATCTTATATTATATTTTTAAGTAATTCATAAAATAAAATTTTTATTTTTTACTTGCTTAAATTTAAATGTGAAATCGTCTTATTTATAAGTATAGTATATTAATAATTTAAATTATTAAATTGATCATATTTATTGTAAAAATAATTTTTTTATGTTAAATATAATTTAAGTAAGATGCATAAAAAAGTTTTCAAATTTTTATTTTCTAAATACATGTGTATGTTTTTATTTATACAAATATGTAAGGCTTTATTTGTATAATAATCGAAACATAAATTAAATATACACATTATGTTTGCGTATAACAAGAAGTATTTATATTACATTGTATTGGGAAAATATAAACTAAATATTTGCATACAAATAAAACTTTTTAAAAGTTAAAGAATGTTTTTATATATTAAATGAACTTTTTTATTTCGATACCCAGTCCCAAGCATTTCACGGAACAGGTGACAGTTCAATAAGACAAAAAAAGTCGACGCAGAAAGTCACATAACCCAGAGCAGCCCATCTTAAAAAAGCGTGCAACTGGCCCCGAGAGTTCGAGCTGTTCGGACCTTGCCATTCGCTAACGGAAATATAGACTTGGCTTTTGAGATGTTGTAGAAGGCCATTTATGTGGAGCCACAAATCTCAATTCTCGCACCATTCTTTTCTATTATTTTTTATTCTTCAAATTCTCTATTTTATCCAAACCGCACAAAAGAGTCTCCAGTTTTTTTTTTTTTTTTAAATTATATTTTTAACTTATTATAATTACTATAACTAACAAAATTTAATCTTCATATATTATTTTTTAATTTAAAAAATATAATAAATTTATTAAAATTTAATTTAATTTAATTATTATAATGTCATTAATATATTAATAAATTAAATTTTATTATAAATTTTTTAATCTTTATCAAACGATAAATATAAAATATATGAGAGTTGGTTAGTAGTACAAAAGCCCACTATACATTTAATGTGGTCATATTTATTTCTTTTGTTTTGTTTTTTAATATATAGCCCTACATTTATAAAGCTTTTAAATTAATTTAAAAGTACTTAAGTTTTATTACAAAAAGTACTTAAGTTTTACATGGGATAAATAATTATAACTCTTTATTGGTATGAAGCCAACAATTTTTTATACGCTATCATAGTTATTGATTTATTAAATTTATACGGGTAATATAATAATAAGTTAACACATGCTGTACAAAATAATTTATCTCAAAATAAGTGAACACTTCTTTCATACTATATAATGTGCAAGACAACAAAAATTACATTAGTGTGAGTTAGTTATAAAACAATCAAATTTATTATATTGGACAAATATATATAAAATTAATAATAAAATTAAAATAATACAAAATTAGATAGACAATACCTATAACTATAATTTAAATTATTTCACGTCACTAATTTATAATACTTATTTTTCGTTTTATCATAGGCCTTTAATTATCAGTTATTTTATAATACACATCATTATTTAGAATTTTAATATTTTATTATTAGATTGTCAATAATTATCAATTATTTAATTTTATAATAATTATAAATTTTTTAGACAATTAAGAGTCATGTAATAAATAAAAAGAAAGAAAGATATTGTAAATTAATTACAAGGGATTATCCGTGTAATTTTTGTTTTTTTCTCCCTCTTTCTTCTCAAATTTTGTAGTAACAAAAGCAAAGAGAGAGAAAAAAGAAAGGAATTTTGCGTGTATATCCAATCTCTTCCCGATTATCCGTTGTTAATCGCATATCCAAAACCAGTTAAAAATTGAAGCCGTGTGATTCGCAAAATATCTACCATGATATTTATAGAATTAGCTTGCTGTAAAAATCAGCTATTTATTTATGTTATAATCAACACCACGTGATTCCGAAGTTGCTAATGTGGTATTTTTTTTTTTAAACAAAAATATTTTATATTTAAATAATATAATATTTTTTATTCAACATATTATGAATTTAGTAACACTATTTAGTATATTATAATATTAATAAAAATATGAATTTTAAATATTAAATAATAAAAACCATTGTTAACCTCATCTTATTTGACCTGGAGGATAATTTGAAAATTTAATTTTTATTAGAAAATAATAGTAATTTAATGTTGAAAATTAATTTTTTTGAAGATCCATGTGACGCAGAAGTATAAAGGGAAAATAAAAAATGAAGCGCGGCCAACATTGTTGGAAATAGTAACAGCCTAAGTAGAGATTTACTGCACGTGTCAATAATTGGCGGAGAGACCATTAGAAGCGGTGGAACCGCACCGCAGGGAATCATATCCCTTTCAACAAAGACACTGAAAACGATACCATTATAAAACAGAAAAAGAAAAACGAAAGACGAAGCAGACGCCATAGAAGAGGCGGGTGGCTCCGGTCTTCTCTCCCATTTTTATTATCCTTTCTAAATCCACATCTTCTCTCCACTTCGCCACAAACACAAACACACACACAGACATACACTCTCTCTACTCTCGTTTGAGAGACCAGAGAGACTTCTCCCCGTTCTCTTCTTCTTTTCAATCTATGGCTCTGCAATCCGTCTCTCCCATTCCTCATCTTCTTTCGACGAAACCAAGCTCCGTCCTCTCATCCGAAAAAAGTTTCTTGTTCGTTGACTTTGTAGGTCTGTATTGTAAGTCAAAGAGAATCAGGCGGAGAATTGGACTTCCCGTTTCTCGATCGTGCTATTCGAGATTGGCAACTAAGAACTCATCGTCGCTCCAGGCGGTCCTTGATTTTGAGAGAACCAATGCCCCTGCCTCGGAAAAGCTATCTTCTGATTCCAAATACGAGGTCCGTCTTTCACAATTTTTTTCCGAGATTCAGAGCTCTGCTTCGTACCTAGAAATGTTGTATATTCTCGTTTCCTGGATTTTGAATTCCAATGTGCCTATACGGTGAATTTGATGATTGAAATGGAGATGATACTTCAAAAATAGCAATAGAAACATGATATAAATACGAAAAGACTGAGGAATCGTTTTGGTGTCTTGTAAATTGGTGCATGTGTTGGAAATAAAAATAATATTTGAAAAATAATGAACGTATAGCAAAATAACAAATATTATTAACGTTTATTCGAAACTGTTTTTGTTTAATAGTTCAGAAAATGAATGCAAGTTAGTCATTTCATTTCATTTTGAAAATTTCAATTATAGAGTAAGGCCAAACAAAAGTAGCTAGGATTTGTTCTTATTTAATTAATTTATTTATTTCGTGTGTGCAAAACCAACCATTGGAGGAAGGGGACTGCAATTGATTTAGCTGAACGAACCGAAATTTTTCTTTACGTTTTACGAATCGAATTATCAAGATACTGTTATTGAGTATAGTTTACGTTTTAGTTTTTGCATTGTTTAGGATGCTGTATTAAGTACGAATTGCTACTGGCTCCACAGTGAGATGAATATTTTGATATAACTTTTTGTATTTTTGAGTTGCCACTGGCATTTAGAGAGATTACTGTCCAAAAGCTTTAGATGAAGAGCCTCCAAGTGATTATGAATTATATTTTTGGCTTGGTCCAGTTATAATGTGTTCATCTGGATCCATATGGTACTTTTAGATCTAGGACGGTTTTTTTGGTATATACCAGGGAGTATTTTCGTAATTTAATTTTTGATTTCTTCTTAATGCTTTTTAATATACTATGGATGATAGGTTTGTTTGAAGCAATATTTGTGTGCTTTCTTCTGCTTTTGCAAGCTGAAATGTGTCTTTAGCAGGTTGCAAAATTGGATGACATAATATCAGAAAGAGGAGCATGTGGAGTTGGATTTATTGCCAATCTGGAAAATAAAGCATCACATGAAATTGTGAAGGATGCTCTTACAGCTCTTGGTTGCATGGAACATCGTGGGGGCTGTGGAGCGGATAATGATTCAGGTGATGGTTCAGGAGTGATGACTTCAATCCCATGGGACCTATTTGATGACTGGGCTGCAAAGCAAGGAATTGCTTCTTTTGATAAGTTGCACACTGGAGTTGGAATGGTCTTTCTTCCCAAAGATAGTGGTCTTGAGGAGGAAGCTAAAATAGGTAATTTTGGATGAAATGATTTGAGCTGACTTGATCATATCTTACGTGTTTTTACTGAGCTGGCCATTTGAATGCTTAAATTATTATATCTAGCCTTCGTTTGGTGTTTACATTAGGTATGCATTAAGTTTGAAAAGTTTATGTTTGAGTAGAGACAGTAGATTTCTCGTTTGGAGATTTGTTTTAATGGATGAAAAGATATTTAACCTGGTGCATCTTCAAAAAAAAAAAATACTTCAAATATTACATTGCATCTTTTGGTTGGCATATAAGCATTTTTGGTCCTATGTAGGTTGGGTGTTTAAGATTCAGGATCTAGGGAAGTTTTAAGCAGGGTTGTGGAAGTATGCAGTAGAGAATGATAGTTTATTTGTTGCTAATTTGTCTCAGTACGTTAAGTTTTAGTAAGCCTATTATTTTTGTGGGTGAAAGGAACATTCTAGGGTATATAGGTTCCTCTAGTTAGGGTAATAACAATGGCTAAAAACCGGACCTAGCCTTTCTTTCACAAAAAATAGTTGCCTTAATGGAGGAGTGCATGGCGTACTGATGGTTTTAGGTAACGGAAAAACATAGGAGTTGACGGAGTGGTTTCTCTTGGAATTGAATCTGGTATTATGTTTGTGCTTTTTGGGCGTGTTTTCTAAAATTAAGCATGAAAGAATTGAGAGGGTTTTGTTGTTTAGAAAATAAACTTAAGCTTTTGGGTGATTTTCACGGAGGTTTCTAATGGAATTTTCCACTAGATAGGGCCCTATGTGATCATAAAGAGTAAAAGCTGTTGAGATTAAGAATTGGATCTTGATGTTGACATTGTTTACAAGGTTTTGTTGGTTTCAGGAAGATATCATGTTGCTTTTATTGGTGCAACCTTGAAGTTGACACATGGTCGTCTAGTTTATTCATGAAAGAAGAGATAGGAGTATTATGTTCAGAAGAGAGTCTATAGAGAGGAGGGAAATGAGATACAAGAGAAGCTACTCCTGGCCAATGCTTGTCCTCTAAAAGAAAATTGGAAGCATTCAATTGGAGTAAATTATGAAAGCAAATATATTTTAGCCATTAATATTTCAAGCAAAACCCTAATAATCTCATTGTTAATATCTATTGCTCACAGAACGGTTGGGATACCAAAGTGGGTGTCTTCCATCTCTTAGAAGTCACTCAAAATCTAATACTCAAGTATATGACTCTTTTTGTCTTTTTCTTCAGGTAAGAGATGGGTCTTTCCTCGCCTTTTCTTTTTTCTGGGGAGACCATTGGGGGATGGAGGTTTACACCCTTTGCTTCTTGATTTAGGAGACACAATTCTCCCGTCGTGCCTTCTTGAATCATTGTGGTAGTCATATATCTTTGGATCTGCTTACTCTAAGTTTACATCCATTTGCTTCTTGATTTGGGAGGCACAATTTTTCCTACCGTCGTGTCTTCTTGACTGTTTTGGTAGTCATATATCTTTGAATCTGTTTCTTCTAAGGAATACAAATGACTAGGTTCATTAAAGTTGGTAAATTTTTATTGCTTTCTTGGAATATTTTTTTCCTACTGATTATAGCATGCAGTGTCTCAATTCTTAAGGGTGTTATATTTGTAGATCCTTTTATTTTGCAAGTTTTTGACTCATACTCCTGCCATTCACAAATTTGTACTATTAATCTAAATAGTTAATGCCAATGACTTACTTCAGACTTACAGATCTCAAAAGCTGTCTTCCCATTCTGTGCTTCATGTGCTTTCACCATAACTCAGAGTACAATTATCATTGTTTATGCAATATGGGATGGTTGGGAGGTTTTGAACTATATTATGCTCTTTGTACAGAGTGTTTGATTGTGGGCCCTAAAGCTTGGCGATTTTCATTTCTACTTCTTTATGTTTTTTTGGGCGGAGTAAGGAGCATTTGGTGCTTTATAAACGGGCCATTTTCATGAATTTATGGGTTCTTTGGTTGAAGGGAAGTGGGAGAAGCTCTAAGCAATGGTTCATTCAATAAATGATCCTTTGGAGAGATGGTGCACTTTGCCTGCCCGAAGCACATGGTTTATAGGGTTTCCTTAATCTATGCTACACGGGAATCACAATGTGATTTCGTATTGACACAAAATTGTACTCCTAGTTTCTGCTGATTTTCTGTCTCATTTTTCCTTTCTCTTTTTGAAGCATATCCTATCCTTATCTTTGGAGAGATTGCGTGCTTTGCCTTCCCAAAGCAGACAGGGAGGCAAAGCACAGTTTACAGGGGTCCCTTAGTTTATGCTACACAAGGATATTGATATGATTTTGTATTAACTCAACATTGTACTCCTCGTTTTTGCTGCTTCTGTCTAGTTTTCTCTTTCTCTTTTTGGAGCATATCTTATCCTCCTTTTGATCCTAATTTCTCCGTCTACTTCTAATGAACTTCTTCTCTCATAAGAGAAAAATATCATATTGATAATATTTATAAGAAGATAATCTCCCAGCGGTTACCTAAATTAAACTTTATTTTTGGCTGATTCCTCTCCTCACCAATTCTTCTGTTTTTGTAGCTACCCTTATCCGTGGTCCATGCATCTTGATATCTGCTGTTTGCAAACATGTGTAAATGGTGTTCCACTAATCTTCATGCCTGTTATCTGTGAGGTTTTGTATGCAGTGAAGCTGCTTTCATTATCTATCTATTTATTTGAGGTTACCTTGTCTATATAAGTACATAGATAAATGAGTAATCCTTTTTTTTTTTCGTTAATATATGGAGTATCTATTAGCCTCGTCCTCATGGATTGGTACATATTTACTTATGTTTCAAAATAATACATATGCACAATATACAAGCTTATACGATGGACAGGTAATCTAATATTTATGCATGCACCTCTATTTCATCTTATGATTCTAATTTTTGCCATTTCGTGAAAGACCATCTTATCTTTCTCAAATAAGGTTTCTATTGCTTTACATATTATATCACTGTTTTAGTGGGCTTCAAGTTGTGTTTATAATTTTTGTCATTTGACCAAAACTTTACGCTTCTGTAGTTATTATAAATAATTTTGAGAAAGAGGGTCTTGAGGTGCTTGGATGGAGGCCAGTACCTGTGAATATGTCTGTAGTTGGTCTCTATGCAAAAGAAACCATGCCCAACATACAGCAAGTGTTTGTTAGAGTTGTTAAAGAAGAGAACATTGATGACATTGAACGGGAACTATATATCTGCCGGAAATTGATTGAAAGGGAAGCAAACTTGCAAAGTTGGGCTGATGAACTCTACTTTTGCTCATTGTCCAATCAAACCATTGTTTACAAGGGGATGCTTCGTTCAGAAGTTCTTGGGTTATTTTATTATGATCTTCAGAATGATCTATATAGATCACCTTTTGCCATCTATCACCGGAGGTACAGCACAAATACTAGTCCCAGATGGCCTCTTGCACAACCAATGAGGTTTCTTGGTCATAATGGAGAGATCAATACCATACAGGTTATAATTTCTTTGGATTTCTATCTAGTCTCTTGTCTTACCATATACTACAAAGAGTAAAACATTTTTTCTCTTATACTGGCACTTAATTTTTCAGGGGAACTTAAATTGGATGCAATCTCGAGAAGCTTCTTTGAAATCCTCTGTTTGGCGTGGCCGTGAAAGTGAAATTCGTCCTTTCGGTAACTCAAAGGCATCGGACTCTGCAAATCTCGACAGTACTGCAGAAGTAAGAGTTACTAATGATTAGTCTTTGAAAATGCTTTTAGATTTTGCTGCGGTGGTTTTGTTAATGACACTCATTTGTGAAAGTAAAAAGAGAAAGGGTCACTGTAAAATGCTTTTGACGTGACCTCTCAATAAATTTTCATGCTACTTTAGTAATCACCATTTAAGGAAACAATCCTTTAAAAGGAACTCACATGAAAATTTTAAATAGGCTGTAGGTGCCTAAAGGAGCTTCTACAAATTGGAGCAGTAGTTGAAGCTTTAGAATTTCACACTTTTGTAATTAAAAAAACTAAGCAATGTACCCCAGGATGTTTTATGTGCTAGTGAAAGATTTAAGTAAATGCTCAACAAGAAATTGAGGGAAAAATTATTGAATGGTGTTCAGACATGAATTCTGCTGTATTTGGAAACATAAATACGTAAATTACTGAAAATGTGTGCCAAGCAGAGTAGACTAGTATCTGTTCCAGTTCAGAGATTTGACTGTTTGGATGGGTAGCCCGTTTTGTATACCAACAGCTTCTCAAGCAGCGGAAGAAGTAAGACCTTGGTCAATCAGTGCCTTTCCTGCCCTTGCTAATGGATGTGTAGGTTGAAAGATCATGCAAGCACTATTCTCTTCTTCCAATTAATATAGGTGAATAAAATCTTAGAGAAACAATTAGATAATCAGATGAAATTCCTAGAAATGTCACTTGAAACAGTTATGTATATCGAGTTTTTTCTAACCCTCTTATTACTTTAATCACAGTAGAAGCTTTAGTTTCTTGTTTTTGGTAGAAGATGTGTTATTTTAATTTTAAAGGTAAGCTTTTCATCAAACTTTCAAAACCTTTTTCCTCAACTATTTTATTCCAGTTTTGCAAATAGAAGTTCAAGTAATATATTACTAATATGCTGATTTCTCGATATATTATGTTGCTGCTGATGATAAAGTAATCATGTTCAACATAGTAAAGGTTTTAACAAAAGAAAGATACAGGAAAACTTCATATAAAGATCTCCTAGATGGATATTATCTTCTTCCGTAACCAATGATTAATCTTAGTCAAAAACAACACCTCACATAATTCTTCAATACAAATGCTGCAAGCTGTTAATGATATCACATTCAGACACAAGTCAGTTTAAATCTTTTTCCTTATACCACAGTTTGATTTATGATGTCTTGTAAACTTGCTTTGTTTGTTTACCAGTTGCTAATAAGAAGTGGCCGTACTCCTGATGAAGCTCTAATGATTCTTGTCCCAGAGGCATATAAGAATCATCCAACTTTGTCGATCAAATATCCTGAGGTATTTTTTGTTGATATGCTGTTCAGCTTATGTTGCTGTATGATTCTGATTTTGGAAAAAATCTTGTTCAGTACATTCCTTTTTTGATGTTATGCTGTTCAAGTTAGGTCCGATCTTATAAGTTACAAAGACTTGCAATTTGACTCTGGTGCAGTTGAATTTAGTCAGTTGATGACTAAACTGAATGAATCCTTCTTCTCAATTGGCTTCATGTTTTTTTCATGTTATCACTGCTTGAATCCACTCTCTTTGTGCTTTATCTTGATGATCTTGGCGAACTTAATTTCATTATGTTTTCTTACATATGGACAAGTCTGACTGGTACTTTTCCATAGGTTGTAGATTTTTATGACTACTACAAGGGTCAGATGGAGGCCTGGGATGGACCTGCCTTACTCTTATTCAGGTAAATCTTTTAAGGCTCACATCCTTCTTTAGGACATGCACTTAAGAAGGGACCATACAGGTTTAGGTTTAGGTTCTGTTTGGTTGTGCTAGGAGAAAAAACTTATGTTACAAACTTGATCATAATTTTATTGAGTGAAAAAATTGACCTGTAAACTGAGCACCCAGTTTGGATGATATCCATAGAGAAATTTAGCTGCTACCTCTTTCAGATTAGGTAGAGGTTTGGTTGCTAGGATTCAACCACAAATTTGATCAAGGTATTTGTTGAGTCCTAGCAGAAACTTGTGAATTTGTTTCTTCTTAATGATTTTCTTATACTTGGCTGCATTGGTCCGACAGTAGTATTGAATAGTTTCATACACATCTAATTGCTGCCAATACTTACACTGACAGATGAAATATAGGATGACTGAGAGGTTCTCTTGATGGAGTCCATGGAGGATACCTTCACTCTTGAATGCCCCCGCTGTATCTTCCTTATACGAGTAGGTCTCACACATGGTATCCTAGATTTCTTGGGCTGCTTTATAGACAATAAAATTCTCCCCAACATCTTTCGTCATGAAACTTAAGCTATGACGTGACTAAGTTATTTTTAGTTTTCCACGTCTTGTAGAGTGGGTCATCGGATTTTTGGTTTAGTGACTGCACCTGTAATATAGCTATGTTTTCCTTGACCACAAATGATCTTAATAACTGGATGCGACCATTGGAGATTGTTATGACCATTCAGTTTGTGTCCAGTAATGATAAAGGCGCTGGACTTAGATCCTCTATTAGAGTTTGGTAACAGATTGAGATGAAATAGTAGAGATGACTGTGGCCATTGGACGAAGAGGAAAAAGTTTCTGGTTTTTTAGAATTTCTTTAATACCAAGAAGGATGAAGATTATGCATTTTTTATTGGCTTCGATAATGATACAAGGATTGTATTTATAATACAAAGGTTGCCATATTCACACAAAAAAATCTTCTTAATTAATGAGAAGATTTTCTAAAATAAATGACAAATTAAATCAAAGAGATTTTTGATAAGAATCTTCCTGATTAGTGAGAAGATTTTCCAGAATAAATAGTAGATTAAATCAAAGAGATTTGTTCAACTTTGATGTCATATCTTCTAAATTGGAAAGTAAATATTTCTGATATAACCATTATAATTACTTGATTTTCAACGATTTTCAAACTTGGCACTCAATGGCAGCTAAGATATTTGAGAGGCAAAGATGACACGTCGCAGCCCAAGGCTTGTCCAGCTAAGCCTTCAAAACAAGAGAGTACCATTAACAAAAATAAGATGCATGACCTCCAGAATGTCCTCTGCTTTTGGACCACCAAACTCTAAAGCAAAAGCTGTCCTTGGCTCCTCAATAAGTCTTTTAAGACCATCCATAATAATAATGAAGAGAGGTACGTCAGATACCTGTGCCATGGTACTGACCTGTAAATGAAGAAGAAGAAGAAAAGGGAGAGAAGGGAGATTCGACAGAGAAGAAGAAGACTGAAAGAATAATTTTATTATTGATTTCTAATGTGTGCTCAATGCGTAGGATACATTATTTATAGGCAGACGTGACAGAGATTAGCGAAGTGGGTGGAATTGCTCGGATTTGGTGCCGTGACGATCACACGGCCATTTTAGCCCTAGTGGGGGCCACCACTGGTGACGGCAGATATGATGGTGGTAATAATATATAAAGACACCCTAACCTTAAATGTTTACACAAAAAGACTGAGTTGTTTTTTTATGATTTTTTCTTTTTTACCCCTAATATCCTAACAATACCCTCCCATCAAGTATCAACCTTATCCTCAAAGTTGAGTTGTGGAAATCTTTTCTTCTGAGTCCCTTTTGTAACAATTTCCTCTAAAGCCATTACTGTTTTACTTACGCAATGGTTTCCTAGAAAGTACCGGTCTCTATACTTGTAGCAAGTAGTTATGACTCTTCTAGGTTTCCATATTCCTTCTTACGGCTCGGAGAAGTTGGTCATAATTTCTAGTTTATGATCTTTATGAAAATTTGACAACTTGGCTAGTAAAATATGAATTTCGGGACATTTCTATCACAGATTGTTCTTGAAGTAAGACTTGCTCAAATGCTTGATTAAATGTGCGCTGCTTAAGTAGGCTTATCATTGGTTGTTTGTTTTGAGGTTACTGATAAAACTAGATATAAAGAATTTTTCTAAGAGTATGGGTTAATCTACATCCATGAGAGGGTGTTAGTGTTCAAATTGTTCTTGATAGTCGATAATAGTACCTGTTTGAGATAGTTTGTTGAACTTCTTTATGAAATTTTTTCGCGAGAGACCTCCGAATATACGACAGAATTCTTTCACAAAATACTCTTAGTCCATGACATCAAATTTGACCATACATCGGCAACTTCTCCCAAATACAGATATGCAGTCTCCACTTTTTCTTTGTCAGGAGGTTTGTGGATCATAAATTATTTTTTACACCTTATAACCCACCCACGGGGTTTACCTCTTCAAAAAGAGCAATTTTCACTTTAGGAAGTAAGAGAGGTCAGGTTGAACTGGTGCGAGGAAGCATGACAAGTGGGCTGGTTGGGTCCAGGGGATCGGAACTGGGTCGAGTCAAGTCATTCCTATCTAGACCGGATTGGATTGGGCCGCTTCGGTCTACTTTTTCCATGGATCCGACTCACTTTTCCTCAAATGGATCGCCCTTCATAAAGGGTGAAAACCTTAAGCCATTTGTGCCGCTCGGAATGGGAGGCAAACCTCCCTTTTCACATGTGTTCACTGGCTGTTTCAGCCGGTCTTCTGAGGATGTCTGAAACCCTAAACCATTCGCCTCGCTCGGGAGGGGAAGCCGGCCTCTCTCCTCACACGTATCTGCCGACGGCTTCAACCATTCTTCTAAGGGCGCCCCCTGAAGCTGCTCCATGATGGTGTTCAATTGTTGGCGAAATTCCTTCTTCATTTCGTACACCTCTTCCATGAAGGAGGTAAGTTTTTGATCGATGTCCTTCATAGTGAGTTCGAGGATTTCAGAATTCTTAGACTTGACCACTGTCACTGTCTTCCCTTTCGACCAAGTGTAGGTTGTGACTTTGGCAAAGGAATCGGCCAGTTCCTGCTTTAATACCAAATTTTTAAATACCTTTGCCATGATACTGACCTGTAAATGAAGAAGAAGAAGAAAAGGGAGAAAAGGGAGATTCGACAAAGAAGAAGACTAAAAGGATAACTTTATTATTGATTTCCAATGTGTTCTTAATGCGTAGGAGAATACATTATTTATAGGCAGACGTGACATAGATTGGCAAAATGGTGGGATTTGCCTGGATTTGGTGTGGCGACGATCACGCGATCATTTCAGCTTTGGCGGAGGTTGTGGCTGGTGACGGCAGATCTCGTGGTAATAATATATAAAGAAACGCTAACCCTAACTATTTACACAAAAAGATTAATTTGCCCATTTTTTGTAATTTTTTTAACCCTTAATATCATGATAGGGTGGAAGAGACTTCTCTTGTCCCAGACTTATGTTGCTTAGACTCTTTAATTTTAATGTCATGCTTGTGTTGGGCACAACACAACATTGCTGTGCGTGTGGAATTTGTGTGTCCGACACTTGATGGGGATGTCAAACATTTTGATGACCTAAAACTAGAGGGCATGATGCATGACGATATAAAGACAATGATGAAGACACTTGCACTAAAAGTTGAAATGGAAAACACATAAAGGGACATACTAGTTCTTGAGTGTTTAACTTTTTGACATTTTCTTTTATGTACTTAATCATTTAATAATGCTAATTAGTATTTTTTTTTTGTTGCGCTACAAATTTGAATATGCTTTAGTTTTTGTGCTGAAGACTGTTAATATGTATGTGGTATTGTCTTTAACTTTATAAAGGAGACAATTTTATTATGTATATGATATTGTCTTAGCTTTGCATAGGCTTATATTAGTTATTACTTTTCATATCAAACGAATCCAAGTACAATATTAAAATGTTGAACTTGTTAATAGAGTCCTCATTATCTTCGACTATAAAAATTATTGAGTTAAGCACATTCATGTTTTAATGGATACTTGCACCTGAGTCTGAGCAACATAGTCTAAGATCTCTTGAAGCCCAAAAAGAAATACAAAGGGACATCATTAATAAGAACTGCAAAAGAAATAACTTTATACATTAAAGGACACCATTTTCCCCAAAGCCAAGCCTACTTAGTATATAAAACAAAAACTCGCAAGACTGATTATCTCAAGCTTTGAAAATGAAATCTCTTGGTCCCTTTTTTCAATTGAGACCACAACCTCATTTGTTAGAGTGGCATGTTTGCCTATTCTCTAAAAAAGTATGTTGAAACTCGTTAGAATATTATAAAATATTCTCTATATATAATAATATGATTATTTTTCTAAATATGTAAGCGTAATTATGAAGAAATAATTAGATAATTTATGTTGGTTACCATATATGAATCTACTTATATGTATATATATCCGTACTTCTTATTTCATATACACAGAATATTCAGTATTTTTCTTT